AACACCCTACCGTAATTGTCTGTTTCCTTGGCCACAGGCCCTACAGAGGTTGAGTCTGTTGCTGATACATCTCTATGTCCTTAGCCCTGAGTGCAGGGCTTGGCACATAGCTGGTACTCAGAAAAGTACACAAATAAGAAGTAAGGAAACAACTGAAAACATGAACTTCTTATGTGGGTAAAGAATCTAAGACTGCAAAAATAGCATAACCTCAAAGTTTTTTTTGGGTGTGTTATATGATCAAGGGGTTTTATGAATTACTTTTTATCTCTAAAACACAGCCATTTATAATCTTTCTTAAATAGGTCCACATTTCTTAAAAGATTCTAAATACCTTCCATACAAAGAAATAGTGAGTTGTAGTGAAGCGTTATATGAAGTGTACAGGGAAGGGTCTGACATCATGCTCTAACATTGTGGAACTGAAATTAAATAATTCCTGATCCTGGATAATAAGAGGCATGGAAGAGGGCTTCCTTTGTCCTTGACTTTCGTTCCCTTTGGCTATAGAAGGAACCTGGGTTCTGGAGACATACCTGGATGCAAATCCCAGTTCTACCACTCACCCAGCTGTGGAACCTTAAGCATGTTACTTATCTTTCTTGAGCCTGTTTATTTATTTGAAAAATTGAACATTATACCTATATTGAGGGTAGTTGTAAGGCTTAATTGAAATAATAAGTAAGCCCCAAAAGTGGTAGTTATAATTACAATTAAAATTTTTTTATTATAAATGCCACTGTCACGGGACCAGCTATGTGTAGCTGTGGACAGCAGTGACAGGCCTGACAGAAAGAGGATGAGCATCTGGGTGCTTTTGCTATTTCCTTAAAAATCTAACCTGGGAGTCTGGATGGAACTGGTGACCTTTGCTGAAGCTCATGCTCATCAGCATCTTCCCGGGATTTATGGGGCACAATTACAGAATCATGCTTCTAGAAGTCCAACAATATGGAAATAAATAAACTGTGGGTTTTATGACTGAGCTGACAGTGATTGTATGGAACCCGTACTTCTAATTTCTCATTAAAATAGTGGGACAGACACATTCCTGCCCAGGGCACTCAGAAAATGTTAGGATTGGCAGCTCGTGGAATTCAAAGTGCAACCCTCTCCTGAGTCCTTCTGATGTGTCCCACCTCACTCTAACAAACTTGTCTTTCCTTTCTCTCATTTACTGATTAATGAATTCAGTGTAAATTTCCTAAGCATCTGCTCTGTTCCAGGCACTCCTCAACATGGGATATATTGACAGACCAAGCAAACACACTTTTTCCTTCTACTGAGCTCCCGGTCAGTTGGGGAGATACACACTTAAACAGGCAACGCAGAGAGTCAAATGGGGGAAACCCAAGGTATTGGGTAGTGGTGTGCTGGTAAATGGTAAACAACAGGCTCTGGGTGGGTGAGATGGAGGGAGGAAGGAAGCCCTGATTTGTTGTAGCCTTTACTGATTTCCATGGTGCAAATGCTCCCACCATGGCTGATTTCAGATTACTAGTGTTAACACTACTGAATGTGGAATTGAGAGGTGATGTGCAACAGCACACAATTAGAGAGTATTTCCGCCATATCGATAAATAGCTAAAATAACTCTATGAGCATAGGTAATAGTATAGTAAAATAATTAGGAAGTGACAAGTTTTGAGAAGTTATTACCTTTATAATTTATTTAATTAGAAGTTTATATAAATTAATTTTTATTGGAGGCTGTGTTTAACAACTACTGTCACAATTCCTGTTAACTTAACAAGCAGCTCTTGCAAGGTAGTTCAAGGTGGCTCTAGCACACCTCTGAAGAGATCCAGGCCAGAGCAGATAAAAGACTCTGTCTCTTCTTCCAGGCTTATCTTCCTCCAGCCTCCACACCTTTGCTTATTCTGTGCCCGTAGAAGATGCCGTCCCAGTCCTCACCTCTGTTTGTATTCTTTCCATTCCAAGGCTGACTGTGTCCTTTGGTCTAGTGAAGCTGTCCTCTCTGCCTGGCTCTCTCTCCATCCACAGGTTACAGTGGGAGCAGCTAGGTTTGTGCTGTATAACCCTGGCCCTCTGGCTGAAGTCATTTGGATAAATGGTAGGCATCTGATGCTAGTTAGCTTGGGGGCCACAGACTAATATTCCAGCTCACTGCTGGTAAAAGCTATTTTATGGAAAGCAGAGACGCTTGTCTGACGTGAGGCAGAACAATGAAGCAGATGGGTGGAGAAGAAAGGGGGAGAATATTTTCTGGGTACCCTCTCTCTAGTACTCAGGCCCTGTTTCAGGTCTGACCCCCAGGCCCAGCTACCTCCCTGCCCTAGGGCTCCTTGGGAAATTCCAGGATTTCCTGAGAGCATCCCCTCAGTTAATCCTTTGCACAAAATCCTGGTCTTGTGTCCTACTTTAGGAACCTCCTATAAGACGTTCATTGCTCAGTTCATACTTGTCCTAATAACTTATTTTTCCAGAGCTAGCTTCAGGAGAGGTCTGCATTCAAAAGAGTCCCACGGATCCAGAAGCCTTCCCTGGCCAGGCTAGCCTTGTTCTCCCTGATTTTCTCGGCACCCATCTAGCCACTTAATGGGTGTCTTACTGGCTTTGTCTATGGAAGATGGCCACACCAAAACCGTGGCCTTGGCCCTAAAAGATGACCAGTTCTCACAGGACATTAATTAACTATGACTGTCATATCCCAGACTCTAATTTCAAATTCTGATAGTCCGGTTTGATGCTGGTGTCCACTCCTAGCGCTGGCAACTATGTTTGGGGTGGGGTGGGGGTTATAGTGTAAACGTGGGTGCCGAGGGAAGGTACTAGGAATCTGCTTGGCCTTCCAGGAAAGTATTGGACATTCCAGGACATCATTACTGTCATCATCATTTTTAATTATTTCTGGTGATAGTCTATGCTTATGTGCTTCTCAAGTACCAAATGGAGCTATCACAGGGTTAGTGTAGCCTCTACTCTCTTAGCCTCAGTTTCCCCATTTCTAAACTGAGAGGTTAGATCAGATGTTCTCCAGTGTTTCCTCCATCCCACTAAGATATTCTCCAGTTCTTTGGAGACACGGATTCAGCAGTTTACCTTTCTTTGCCTGAGAGAGGTTGTTGGGGTTGGAAATGACATGTTAGATAATTCCAGGGCATGTGCATGCTGGGTTGTAATCAAAGGGCTCAGAGCCAAATAGTCTGTGTTGCTGCCTTTCTCCCCACTTGCCCCACAGTGGGCCACAAACAGCTCAGAGCCAAATATTCTGTGTTGCTGCCTTTCTCCCCACTTGCCCCACAGTGGGCCACAAACAGCCTCTGCCACAAGCAAAGAGTGGCAGAGAAAGAGTGTGAGCCTCTCTGAGGGGTGGGTACCCCGCGTCAGTTCTCAGAAAAAGTGGAATGGAGCAGCATTTCCTAAGCCAGGAATGGTAGCAGTGTAATGCATACGGGACTAAGCGGAGGGGACTGAGGACACAGGCGTGTATGGTGTCACTCGTGGGAACCCCGGAGAGCTACTTCACCCTTTTAGCTGCCTCATCTGAAAACTGCACACGGTAATGCCTACCTGGGAGATGCAGGTAGGAGGTAAGGATCAAAGTTGGTAGCACGTGGAAGCCCACAGCGTGGCACAAAGTGTTCAAGAAATGGTTCCTGTAATTGCTAGAGTTGTAAGAAAGGATGTAGGAGGGCAGGGGGAAGAGCCAGGCTGGCTCTTCAGGCCCTGGCTGCTAGGCAATGGAAAAACCAGGGAGAACCAGGAAGAGAGGGCTGAGCTCCTGGCCTCTCTGCTACTTAAACAACACAAGTTTTTTTCTGGTCTGATCTCCCCAGCACCCAGAAATTATTGACTAGGGACATTTTAACTAGTGTAAGAGGGAGATTTACCCAGCTGAACATGGGGCTGCTGTCCTCATCTAGGTGGAGAATGGACATCTTGGTCATCTGGCCAAGTTGTGTGCATCCTCCCAATTAGAAGTCATTGAACAAGAGGCCTGGGAACCCATGTTTGCAACAGGACTGTTGGGAGGCTGGCTGTCCTGTGCTCTGTGCCATTATAAATGGCCATTTCTCAAATGCGTGTGAGATACTGTTGAGATAAACAAAATATTAGATTTATTTAAAAGTGACCTTGCGGTCACCTTTTGGACAATGTGGATTTTCCCAGTCACCTAAAATAGTATCTGCCATCACACTAAGAACTTCCATTTATGGAGACCCACAGTACCTGCCGTTGTGCTGAGTCTTTCTCTCAGCTGCTCTTTCCCAACAGCTCCATGAAGAGACAATTGCTATACCCATTTTACAGATGAGGAAATGAGACGTTGATATGTTGTTACTTACAGGACTAATTAAGTGTCAGTTCCAGCCAAGGCCATCTGACCCCAAAGCCCTTAATGCTCTGATTTAAGGACAAGGATGCACTTCGCATTTCTTATTTTTTTCATTCCGAATGAAGTTGGAAATCCTTCATGCCCTTTATTCCTTTCAGTGGGTTTCGCCGCTGCTTGCACACCTCCCCTGCTTTTGCTGTTTTTTTTCTCCCTGTTCCCATTTCACCCTCCGAGGGCTTTGCTTCCTGGAGCCGGGGCTCGCCTCTGCCGATCCTAGTTGAGCCCGGCGCTCTGCCTACCCCAGCTGAGCCCGTGGGCGCCGGCCCGGCCCTGTCGTTCCCCTGCGTCTCCTCCCCTTCCCCTGACTCCTGCAGATCTTTCCTCAGGGCGCTGGGACTCAGCTCACCCTCTGGTAAAGCAGAGGGCTGGATGCCTTCCTTGCGAGGACGTAGCGAGGGGTTTGGTGGAAGTGCCACCCGGGTGCCCTCGAGGAACGCTAGCTCGGAGCCAGAGTCGCCATTCCCCGGGCCGCCCGGGAGGGCCCGGAGCTCCTCCCCCGCCCCGCCCCGCCCCTAGGCGGCTCCCGCCCGCGCCCTGCCCGTCCTGGCCCAGAGGCCGCAGAGCCCCCGCCTGCCGCCGGAACCAGCTGAGCTCAGCTGGACCCAGCAGCCGCTCGCCAGCGCTGCAGCAGCAGGTAGGGCGTGTGGGGACCGCGGGCATCTGAGAAGCTCGGGCGTCAGGGTCCTTCTCCTTCGCTCCGGTGCCAGCTCGTCGGCGCTTGGAGCCCGTCCCGGCAGCGGGGGCGTCGACAGAGAAAGGCTTCCTTCCTCACCTTGCTGTTCTTCTAGCGGACCAAGGAGGGTGGACTGGGAGGCTGGGTCTGGGGAAGAGGGGAGCCGGGTCTCTGCCCACAGGCCCCGCTGTGCCGCAAGCACCTGAGCTGACCGTGACCCCGCCCCCCCCCCCAGGTGGGGGAACCTGGCTCGGGGTCACCCCGTTCTCGGTGTGTCTGACCAGGACTTGCAGGTAGCCTCCAGTCCGCGGTGTGGACGGTGGCTCCGCGGGGGAGACTGCTCAAGACATTCCTGCATCCAGGGTAATAATGCCTTCTAATGCTTTCCCGGGGCGGTGAGGAGCCCTCCACCCCCTTCCTCCTTCTGGGCTCAGGGCTGTTAGGAAGTTCTTCCTTGTATTCCGAAATCCGCTGGCATTTGCTACCTGGAGGTGCGTCTCCTCCTCGGCCCTGCAGTGTGTGCTTCTTTCCCTGACTCACACAGAAACTTCTGAGTTGACAGTGATTGGAAACTCCCTTCCCCCCCCCACCCCGGGCCCCCATCTCTTCCCCAGTCTACTCACCCCAGACCCTGATTACAGCATTGTCCCCAGGTCCAGTGCAGGCTGGCCGCTCTGGGCGATGGCCAAGGGCACGCCCAAGTCCTCACAAATCTGGGGGAACCGTTGGATGGACAGGGGACATTGGCTTCTTTTGTAGTTCCTCTTCCGCCTAGACGCCCACCATTTATCCAGCCCTCATACCTTCCTGGAGCTGAGAGAGTACCTCGTAAACTCCCAGAACTCTAAAAAGGCAGTCAGGGCTTTTCTGGGGGTCACATGGGCCTTGTGGAAGGCAGGGCCTCTGGGGAGGTGCCTACGGCTTTTGTTTAGCTCCTGGGGACTTTTCAAAATGTAATTCTGCATGTCCTGTTCTCCCAGGACCACATATCTGACCTGCACCTCTTGCTGCACCACTTCCCAGTGACCACAGCTTGCTGGAGACTCACCTAACCCATTCCACAGCTGAGAAACCTGAAGGGCCCTGAGGGTTTGCAGTGGGTGCATTGTCACACAGCGAGGAAGGGGCAGGGCTGGAATCCAGTTCAAGTTGGCACTTAGCTGACTTGTAGCTGGTGGCGCTTTAGACTCTTTGAGTGTTCCATTCAGTAAGGGGCTGACAGCCCTGCCATCCCCCACCCCCTGCACACATTTGAGGGTGCTGGTTGGTGTTTCTGGGGGTGTTAGGAGAGGTGGCTTGGAACAGAGGAGGAGGAAGGGTGGGATGGGGACAGGCTGCATCCATCTCCCTTGAAATTCTGTTTTCCTTTCTGGGGCCTCGCTATTTATAAATGCCAGGGTAATGGTAAACAGCAGGGGGAGCTTGGATTGGCATGGGGGGCGGGGGTGAGTTACAGAGCAGCAAAGAAGTTTCTGTGTGAATCAGGGAAGGAAACTTTACTCCAGAATTTTCCATAGTCCTTTTTATTGTGGGCTAATTTGAACCAGGGAAAGCAGGCAGCTCCCAAGGGGGAGGAGGAGGCTGTAGGGTTTGCCTCTCATGACGTTTCCTTCCTTGATTCAGCACTCTTCTGGGCCTGTGTTCTGTGTCTTGCCATGTGGGCCCAAGAGCCCGAGGAGGACAAAGATTTCTGTCCTCAAGGTGCTTCTCATCTATGGTGATTGACAACATCACATGATACTGAGAGTTACTTCTGCCTGAAAAGGGGTGACTAAGTCTGTCTGGGCAACCAGGCATTGGAAGTGGGTAATGTTTCACAGCAAGTAAAGGGATTGAGGGAAAAGACATTTTAAGTAGCAGGAACAGCTTGTGCAAAGGCACTGACGTTTCCTGAGCAATCCACATGGCTACAGTGGCAGATGAGAAAAGGGGGAGGTGGAAGTTCAGATTATAAATATGGAAGGAACTAGATTGTAAACTAAGAGTTTGGACTTTATCCTGAAAGCAATGAGGAGCTGAGGAAGGTTTTTGGGCAAGGCATTGATAAAAATTCTTATTAATGCTGATGTCAGGGATGCATTAGAAAGGGCTAAACTGGAGGCAGAAGGACCCCAAGGAGACTGTTGCATGGTCCAAGTGAAAGAGAGTACAGGCGTGAACCAGAGCAGTGGCTGCAGGGATGGATCAGAGTGTAGATTCCGGAAGCCCAGTTGCAGATCTCAGAACCTGCTGTAAATTTCATTTAAAAGCAGACAACAGGCTTATAGCTAGCTACTGATTAAGGCTACTAAATTATTTTGATTTTCGTAGTGTTTTTTTTTTCTTTATTATTTTCAAAGTGAAAAAAATTCCTGTTAAAGATTCAAACACAGAAAAAAGTATATCATTAACTTTGTCCCTCCAAATCTTCTTCCTGTAGAGGTAGCCACTGTGAACAGCTATATGTACACTTCTGCCAAGCTATTACAAATAAGAGCTGTTGATTGCATACCTTCACATTTCTTAGCCATCCAGTGCTGGTCAGTTGCTTCTTTCTACTCTATGTGGGTAGTTTAGGTCTTTCATGAGAAATTGGCAGGTCGTAGAGATGATTTCTGCATGGTCTGTAGTCCTTTGCTGGAGCATTGGACTCCAGTTTTGTTCAAGCATATATCTATGGTCTCTGAGTGTGTATTAGAGAGAATGAAGCACTAACTTGAGAGTGGAGCCTCATCTTAGTTCTTTTGAGTGACTTTGGCCAAGTCCCAGCCCTCTGGGCTTCAGCTTCCTCATCTAAAATGGGGGGATGTAGGACTGCATGATAATAATAAAAAGCAACCTTTGAGTAAAGGAAGCACTGGAACATCGATTACTTTGTTGATTCCTCACAGCCTTTCCTCTGAGGCTGGTACTTCTGTCCACTTTTATGGCTGATGCTAAATAAGGTGCCTTAGGTTTTGTTGTTATTAGAAGATGGTGCCAGAATTCCAGAGTTCTGACTACAGAGCCATAGCTCTTAATTGCTGCATTAAATATTCTCGAGAAGGTTCCATCTGGTCCTGACATTATGAGAATTGATGGGAGTTTCACTGTGGCTTTGACCAGGGACATAAGGGAGTGTGCGCCACTTGGGGAGCTCAGACCTGCAGCAGAGAGGTGGGGTGGGGGTGGAGGGCTCTCAGGGCTGTTTGTAAACTCAAACTTTTCTATACTATCAACAGGACTCCAGAGTGTAGGTCGCTCTCCCCTCTGTTTCAGGGAGTCAGGGCTCCCAGAAGGCACAGCCTTGATCAAGGCCACGTGGTGAGTTGGGGGTCCAGTCAGGACCAAGTCCCCTCTACCTTTCACCATTTGAGCCCATGCTCTGGAAAGTTTTCTGGGAGTCAGGAAAAGTAGGCACGTCCCTGCCGCATGGTCATCAGTGGAGAAAATGCTGGCTGAGGCAGGGAAAAGCGTGTCCCAGAAGTTATTCATTTTTGAGGGGAGGGAAAGAAAGAGACCAGTGTTTAGGCAGCAGGGGATGTTAAGTAAAAATATCTCTTCCCTTTCAACTGAGGGGGAGTGTATCATATTTCAGCCTGAGTGGTTTGTGAGTTTGGAGACCACAGGCAGGCTGGTTCCTGCTGCAACGCTGGCTTTCCCTCCCCCTCCCCAGCCATATGCCTGCCTTGCCTGGGACCACATTAGCAATTTAAGGGCGGAGCAGAGAAAGGCAGCAGACATGGTGGGTAAGGCTGAGCCGCTGAAGGCCTGGGCTTGGGTCCTGATTTTGCTACTGACAAAGTACTGGGTGACTTATGCTAATGTGCGCCTTTCTCTGGGCCCCAGTATCCACCCTGCACTAGGGGGTGGATGGGATGAATGTCAAGCTCTCTTACCCCTCTGAGTCAGAGGGCCTTGTACTTAGCGCATCAGCAGGACCCACATGTCTGAGGGCACAAAGTGAGCCCATAGCAGTCGTCATGTTTAATTTGCACCAGTGCAAGCATGGAGATTAAGCTTCTGTTCATGAATTTGGTCTTGAGGGACTGAACTGGTTTCCCCATTTTGCAGATAAGGAGCTTGAGGCCTAGGATTCATTTATGTATTCTGTTCCCTGTTTTACAAGCAGTAAGAACCGTGGCCACCATATGTAGTGTGCTTGCTGTGTGTGTTCACCTTTTATTTGTGTCCCCACTGTCTTGTTTAATCTGTTAACAGCACTATAAGGGAGGAGATACTGACTTCATTTTACAGATGAGGAAACTGAAGCTCAGCCTAGAGAAATGGAATGGCTTACTTTCTCTTCTTTGAGCCTCACAATAGCCCTGAGGTTGTCCGTAGGGACCCCATTTTATAGATGAGGAAACTGAGGCCTGGAGATGGGAGCTCTCATGCCCAGGGGTCCCCACATGACCAGTTAGGTTCCTTCCCAGGCTCCTCATTCTTACTCCTTTCTGGTGCTTAGTTATGCCTCAGAGGGGCCTCCGCACCTCCACATTCAATGTTTAGACAAAGGGATAACAGTTTTCTTCCTGGGCTGTAAAGTAGTCCTGAAACCTACACTTCCCAGGGGGGCTCCAGAAACAGTCTGGTCTCTCCAGCAGTACTGATGAAGGGGCCACACAGTGCTGGTGGAATCATTTACTGTGCTGAACTGGTTAAGCAAACAGTTGTAATGCTTTCCAACTTTAACAGGGATATCATCTGTGTCTGGCTTATTTGTCAAGCAAAGAGTATGTATATTGTATAAGTGAGCCTTCAGGGTGGGGCTTGGCCCTTAATTTTCCTTCTATAGCAGCAGTGGCTGGGCTGGGCCCTTAGTGGGTGTGCAGTAAATACTAGTGAATTTTTTGGGAGTGGCAAAGTGATGTGGCTGTATACCCATGGCGTAGGGGGTGCTTTTTTATCCCCTTCTCCAAGGACTTCTTTTCCTTCTTTTTCTAATTATAATAAATGTTTATGATAGGAAATTTGAAACATAAAGAAAGTATAAAAAATAAGAACTTAAAGAAAGGGAAGAAGAGAACTGTCCATAATTCTGCCAACACCAGATAATCACTACTAACATTTGGGTGCATTTCCTTCTGGATATTTTCAGCACAGTTTTTACTCCCACATAATTGTGGTCATACCATATACATAATTTTCTATTCTGGCTTTTTGTTTTGTCAACATAATATTGGCATAAATATTTTCTTGTGTTATTAAGGACCCTAAATTTAATTTTTAAGAGTTTTAAAAGTATGCTATATTGAAGTTGATAAATGCATGTTTATTTCTATTCAAAGCCTTTCATTCGAATAGTTGGGGGCGTTAAAGAAGTAAAATAATGCATTTTATTTGTGAAAAATAAGTTTTACTTTTTTATAATGAGAATGATTTATGCCTCCCTGGTTTTTCATCACTCTCTAGTGTTAAATATACCACAGTTCACTTCCTTCTATTATTAGGCATTTAGGCTGTTTATAAGTAGTGCTGCAATGAATATCCTGGTGCATAAATTACACTTCTTTCATTATCTTCTAGAAGAGAGCCCAAGAAATGGAGTTGGTGAGTCAAAATAACACATTTTGCAACTTCTGCTATCTTTTGCCAGATTGCTATCCAGAAAAGTCATAGCAGTTCTTATTCCCACCAGCCAGACATGAGGGTGGTGGCCTTCCTGAGCGAGCATTGAAAGCTGGTTCTCAGAAGTCTAGCTATCCCATTAGAAGGCTCAGGGACCATTTTCCTGAAACATCCTACTTCATTCATTTAACAGACAACAGTTGCACAGTTCAGCATCAGAAAAGGGTAATGATTAAGATCCCAGGCTGAAGAAGCAGAGAGAAGCTGGTTCTCATTTCTGGTTTCTGCTTGGCATTTGTGAGCTTATTCCACGTCACTGCTCTGCCTCCAGGCTTAGGATGCTAGGGCTTGACTTTGTGGTCCCCGCCCAGAGACTCCGGTGTGACTGTGGTGATCCTCCTCTGGCTGCCTTCTCAACCCTCAAAACAGTTTCCAGACTGCAACTTTTCCAGTTGGATCTTGGGAATCACCTGGCCCTGTCCTCTCACTTCATGGTCAGGGACACTCGCCCAGAGACAGCAAGTGAATTTCCCAAAGTACACAGCAAGACCACTGATTGCTACTCTGCCACTTCCAAGATTACAAAAGTAATCATTCAAACCAAAATGATTTCAGTTGTTATTAAACGCAAGGCCTGGGATGATGAAGCAGCATGGCAGTGGTCAGACCCCTAGTTTGCCCTGCCAGTGTGGTATTGGGAAAGTCAT